CTAGAATTCTACTGTAAGATTAAAGCGATATAAAATGTAATATCTAGCACCCTCTCCCCTCAAAAGGGCTCTGCCCCTCCCCCAAAACCCATCAAAATCTCAAATTTCTTATGATTGAGGTCTTAAATGTCTGGTGGTGTGAGCCCCCTCCAGTACTAGTACTAGTGGAGACAGCATTAGCCTTACATCAGTTCGGCAATGCCAGCTCAGTAGAAACAATAGTTTAGTTGTTAGCTAGGCCATAAAATTGATTTTTTACATAGGATTATATTTCGGTCAAGCTTTGAGTTATTTGATCCTTGAAGCGAAAGTGAACTAAACTTTTCCTCTTTAACTTAAAAGATTCTGTGAATTTTGATCAATTTTCTGTTCAATCTAAGAATATTCTAATGCTGTAATCAGTAGATGTGATCGGTGTAAACCACACCTATATTCCCACATTCGCAGATGATTTTGGCCATTAAAAGTCAGTATATTGTGTTTGATTTGAAGGTTTCAATATGAGGATACTTTTGATTGTTTGTATAGTTTTGGAGCGTTCACACGGTAAGTAAAATACCCGTACTACATATATCAGAGTGTTTGCCTTAAAGAGATTGTAAAGATGTTTTCTTAAAAATAAAAATTATGCGTAGGCCTACCGTATTTTTTAAAGTGATAGCATTCATTTACATCAATCAAATAATTTTCTCTCAGTTTGACTAGCACCATGTGTTTGATGACGCCAGCATCACAAAGTTGTTAATGATTTAAATGAATGTTGCTAATAATTTATTAGTAGCTTTTGACATAAACGGTTAAAAATTTATATATAAATACAAATGATGCAAATAGAAGCCACAAATAACCACGGTACGCATACAAAGTTTTAGAAGATATCTTTATAATCTAAAATAGTCTATTGATGTGTCATGGCAACGCTAACAGTTTTTATTTGCACTATTCTGATTACCTTAACTTCACTATCGCATTTTTCTGATTGACCTTCAGATAGGTGCAAATTGATGTTCTCATTATCCACGTTACATAGATTTGAGAAAAATGTTTACGACCAAATAACATGAAAACAGTCATGGCTCTATCATATACAAAGGGAGTGGTTGGCGCGGGCGTGGGGCCCTGAATAAAGGCTGGCCCAGCTTTCTGTGGCCTCTACTTAGCCCCATCGCCTAATGATTCATAGGAACCCAACTGAATTCATTCATCATTCAGATTATTTTAAATGCTGTATGTAGTATTTTTTAACGGAGTTTTTCTTTATGTTGTATTCATCCGAAAGCTTCTGAAGTATATATCAATGGTGAACTAACAATGGTAAACTCCAGTGAACACTACAATATTAACGATAAAGTGGAATTCAACTTCAATATTTCTCTAATTACCACCAATGTATCTTATCTGTCTATTGATATCCATGGGGATTCCTTAAAGGTAAGAATTACATAGCATAGCATTCGCCAATCCTCGGCAGTTTCCGTAAATCTGAATCTGTTGCAGAGCACATAACATAGCTGATTATCTTAGTTTCAAAATATTAGAATCAAATCCAGTCTTGAGGATAGCCTAGGGCGATGATTGGTGGATAAACAAAAACTTAGTTAGCTATTAACTTATTGCATTTTTCTATGCGGAACAATAACAAATATCCATGTTTCATAACAATAACAATTGCATACATGTATCCTGATTATATCATTTCTATCATTAGATCTACATCACTGGCAAATTTCCAAACCTTGGCCTTCAACAATCAGTGGCGGTGCCGGCCTCCTGAAAATGAGTAAGGTCTCCGTCACACGTAGCATTGACGTGTGACGTGTTTGACGTGTTGACTGAAGTACTGACGTGTGACGGAGAAATAATTGGTGAAACTAGGGGTACAAATATGGGGCAGTCTGACAACTGTCGAGGTTGAGATTTAAAATGTGGCATTTCTGTGGAAGAGCCATGGTGCATTATGACACATATTTTGAGGGAAGAACATATTAAAACCATATTTTCTTATTTGTTAGAAATGAAGTGGGGTGCAATTGGGGGTACAATCCATGGCGCCGCCACTGTTAACGATAGATCATTGGCAACAGCATTCCGAACGCAGTAACAATGTTACACCCAATACTTTTCTCTTTTCTTTTCTACATCCTTTAGTTTGAGAATTCCATATCGGAAGTGAACATATCGTTGACTCTTATTGGTACTGATGGTGAGAATTATATTAACAGATCGGCATCGGTGAGATACTACGAAACATATTTTTCAATATAAGCTGTGACAAGTTTCTTCACCTACTTGAGCTTTTCAAGAACAGTCGTCAATTTTACTTCTCACCTTTATTCCAAGCTGTCCAGACTGTCACATGGGTCTTGAAATGTGCCAGTGCCTTCCTCGTCGTCGTGCACCACACAGACTATATCGGAAAACGAATCCCTGGGGAAAAAAGCGGCCCCTTTTCGAGACAATTGGTAGTACTTTTTTATGCCTTGTAAATACATCCCTTGTTTTCGCCTTGTAAATACACCCCTTTTTTGCCTTGTGTATATAATCTATTTTCTGTTTGTTTATACCTCCCATTTGTGTAAAGATCCCATTTTTATGCCTTGTGTATACATACCATTTTTATGCCTTGTCAATACATCCCATTTTTATGCCTTGTGAATACATACCATTTTTATGCCTTGTCAATACATCCCATTTTATGCCTTGTGTATACAGCTCTTTTAAATTTCTGTTACTCTTTACGATCTATGAAGAAAATACACGAAGACTTGTTATGGTGGTCAACAATCTACAGCATACAGATCCCTGATTTACCCAGTGATACTTGGATATTGAATGGAACCGTGTTTGCTTCAGTTAGTGGTAAGTAGGTATCTCTGATTCGTGAGTCATAACATGCTTATGTTTTAGCATTATGAAATGGCTATCATCCAGCTTACAGTTACCAATAACTTTTCTGAATGTTGTGTCATGTTGTAATGTGTCGAGGATGTTAATAGCGTGCGGGACAAGATCCTTCGGAGGTACTTCATACCACTCTGACAATTGCTTTGGACAATTAATACCCAGAGCATTCAAGTAGTAATGATATTAAATTGGTACTTAATTTGAGAATGAAAGTTAGCATACATGATATATCAGAGCGAATTTAATACTTTAAACACTTTGACGTCTTTAGCGTCTCCACTGTTTTTACTATAGAATCAGCTGGTCCCGGTGCTTTGATTCGTGGCATCATCGACCTAACCTGTCAGATTGGAAACGAAACCTTTTATGATCAATTAATATCAGATTATGCGTACAAACTTCCATTGGTAATACGGTCAGAAGTTTTCAATAACGGGTCACTGCAACTCAGAGCACCAATGACTAACCAGATCATCATGCTGTTTGATGAAGGAGAAGTTGCACCAAAAGTAACCGCCATTACACCATTTGATGAATCATCAGAAGAAGCTGCTGTTCCTCTCAAGAATTTTGCAGCAGGAGCCACACATGGTATAGATGAAAGTGGTCTTGCAGCTATTAATGAATCAGTGGTTCGTATGTGGTCCACCGCAGCATCATACCAGAGTGATATTGGACAGATCTCAATACCAGCTGTGTCTAGAGATACCGCTGGAAATGAGACGGATTCTGGAATAGTTGTTCAAATCACAAGCCGTCTAGAAGATTTTTCAAACATTGCTAACGTTAGTGAACTGGGTATAGGATTGGGAGTATATTTTGGGCAGTCCATGATTTGGATTACTACAGAAACAGCTGCAATTAGTGTTTCAGCACCACAGCGCCCGGAGCTAAACCTGGAGATGAAACAAGGATGCACAACAGCCTCTGAAGAAAGGTAACCGATATTGCAACAAATTATATTTTCTTTATAACAGCAAACAAATGATGACTCATTGCTATACGGTACCAAAGGTATTTGGTGATAACAATCCCCCAATTGTTGGTTATCACTCGATCTATTGATTATTTATCATTACAGTTTTGACGTGACCATGTCCATCATTGCGAGTCATTCTCTGGATTCAACAGCAACTGCTTTTAATGTGACTCTATTTCTGTATGCCATGGAGAGTATGAGTCATGTGGCTTATAGTGACGCTTCGGCAAAGGGCTACCAAACTGATTGGAATGTTTCGGGCAATGTTAGAAGCTACTATGTGAGTCTTTTCTTGAATTAATGTCTTTTTCTAGAATGGTCTAAAATTCTTATTTTTAAACTACTTCTTAGCTGCGAGAATGGAATATCCCACAAAAGGAATCGCCTATGCGAAACATTATCAGAAAGTGCTTGCAACAATAGTATTTTGTCATTTGATGCAATCTAGTTAAAAAAGTATTAGCTCTGTTTTTTAATTCAGCCTAAAAATTCAGTTGCTAAATTAAAAAACAAAAGCTACTGAAAAGCGGAACAAAAGTTTGGTCTAATTTTGATTAGACTGTCATTTAAGGCCATCTTGGTGGAGAAAACTACTAATGATCCAACCGAAATCCAAAATTCAAAATAAGAGTTTGGCATATATTGGTAGCAGCCATTGAGCTATTCATATGAGAAAGTATATTCAACACTGCCTTAAATGCACTATTTCAGATTGAACGAATAACATTTAGTACACCGATGGATATCCTTGTTCGTGAAATGATCAACATGAAGAACGTAACTATGAAAAGAGCCAAGAATTTCATAGTAATGGCGGAAGTGGTATATACTGATCGCTGGGCCAATGATGTAGAATATTGGTCAGGGTTAAAATATTTATCTCTTGATTTACCTTTAAGATGTGGTACGTAGTGTAGTAGTGATTATACGGTCTTACAAAACGATCTTGATATGTATTCTTCAATGGTATATTTAAAGTATTTACAGAAAAACAAAACAAAACAATTATTATGGATAGATGCTTATATAATTATCTATACATAATAATAATTATTTCGTTTGTTGAACTTGATATAATTATTACTCAGGTTTTAGACTGCGATTCATAAACTAAATGGTCATGAGGTTTCTGAAACTTTTAATGTATATTCCACTGAAACAAATTTTAAGAAAATCTTGACAATCTCTTTAAAGTAAATAGAAATTTTATTAGCATTTTGTATTTTCAGCTAGAGAATTAAATTGGACATTATCAGTGAACTGTACATGTTCCTATAATACATCTTTAACCAGCTGTGGATGCTGTCAGGAAGGTGCTTGTCAGTGTGGTGAAATTAATCCCAATCTCTGTCTACCGTGTGACCAAAAAGCTTTGTGTCAGCCGAGACTACCAGGTAAGATTGTACCCATTGATAATAGTGCCATTGCATCATCTTCGCGTCAAACTATTACAACATCTTTACATCATTAGTCACTTTTCTTGTATGCGCAAAATTATGTAAATGTAATGCTTTGATTGGATTGTACGCTGACGAAAACAGCCAATCAGAGTCCTCGACAGAAAGACTGTAAACTGTCGAATGTTCAGATTGCCTCTATTTGTATTGAAGATTTCCAATGAACGTGTGGATGTGTAAACAGCTATCAGAATGTAGAAATTTCACAAATTTACAAAGATTATCATGTCTAAACTAATTCACCGGCTACAAATAAATTTAACGGAAGATCGTTAAAACCAAGAAACGGAACTGCAAATTCGACAAATTTTACAGGATATCACTCTATCAGAGGATTGAAATCCTGACTTGATTGACTTTGGGTTCTCTTTCACAGTTTGAGCTGGGCTATATCAGATCTTGGATAATTTAGAAATGAGGTTTACCTTATGATGAGGCCTGCGATGTTCTGCTTTAAGACTCAGCATTCTCAGCTTCGATACGTTTCGCATCTTCCGTGTTTTTCCCATTTCCAGTAGACTGTGCTCTTATGTTAAGTATGTGTCTTCTAAAGACGTATCGTTGATGATAATGTTATCGATTGTCGAATTTGCATCCAACGTTGTAACGTCTTCTGTACTAACAATTAGTATATTTCCTGCCATTCAAAGATGCAAAATGAAAAAGTGTTGAAGTGCCTCTGTCGGGTGTCACTGAACTCATAATGATTAAGTTTGGTGAGCACAGAAGTGAACAAGTTCAACAGATTAAGAGTTAAATAAGTTCAATACCGATTAGTGTTCAAAGACTGATTATGGATTCAGACGGAGGGTTAAAGAGATGAAAGTTAAAGAGGCCAACGTTTAATAAGTACAGTTATAATGTTCATTCGAAAATTAGTTTTGTTTCTTGCAGAATTCACAAGAATAAGTGAACTAGTGGAAGATAATGGCTCTAGAATTGTTTGTGATGCCTTCTTTAAATACAGGTTAGCTTGATATTTGATACAGTTTGCTCGCTAACGTTGAAAGTCATATTTCATCGAAATGCAACATGCATGTAGTCAATTGTTCTTCAGAGGCTATTCAGCTGTAGATTGCAAAAGTATATTCAAACTTTTGCGGCATATGTACTTGAAGAAGAAACTTAACAAAGTTTTCGACAATGGTTTACTAAAATCAAAATTGTACGAGTTATCAATACTCTCTTTAACAAGTTTGTAAAATATAATTTTAGACCAATAAGGAAGGAAGCGTCGTGTTATCGTATGTTTGATGATAATAGAAAAAATCAAGGTAACATATTTTCCTAATGATTCGAGTGAAAAGTTTTTTGGGCAAATTTTTTTTTGAAATTTTTACTTTGCGAGACACATATAGAGTTGTCGTTTAGTTGTTTCAATTAGAACTTATATAAAAGGTAAAACTTTAATAAGGGACTAACTAGTCAAATATGATGCGTAATAGGACATTCTAGAACAATCATAATAGTTGCCTTCCAGTCTACGAAATATCACATGAATCTCAGTATGTATCCTACAGAATTGATATTATATTTCAGCTTTCCCTGCAACAGTTGCTACAATTTTAGGAGTTGACTATGTGACCGGGTATTTGTATGGTATATCCAATAATGGTCTCGCCTACGTCAGGAGTCACGACAAAGGAGCGTCGTGGGTAACCATTGAACCGACATTCTACGACTACGTACAGTCAGCTTATCATTATATCAAGGCTGTATTTAGTGATTAGATTTTCCACTTCCGGTACATCAGCCACCAGATAATAATCACCGAATCCACTGCTGTCAAGATAGTCTTAATGATAAACTTAACTGAAAGTTCAATGTAGCTGTCTCGTTGTTTGATCCGTCCAACCGTTAACATCCTTTGTAAACTCGATGGAATCCATACATTCCATTAAACAAGTTCTTACCTGGCAATGTTTGATGAACGTATTTTCTTGTCAGCTTGGGCTTGTTAGAGAAATAATGCGAAAAAACTTGTACGTTTATACGTATGTTGATGGATCTCAAATAAATTCAAAGTTCAAATGAAAAACATTATTCCAATTGTACCGTGTGTTACCTTGTTTTGCAAAAGGTCTTCCAGTCAACTCCTAAGGATGTCACACCCNGAGTGTTCCCATCTTCACAATGTCAAGCTATTACGAACTTCGTCTTATAAGGTATAAGACGACGTTCGTTATAGTGACCCAGAATAATATTACTGAAACTGTCCAAACCAGGGTTTCCGTTGTATTGGGTGAAAGGATTGACATCAACAACTCACTAGTCCGTCCGATTTTATTTCTTACTTCATAAAAATTGTCACATTTCATTTAAATAATTATACAGTATACATAATTTAACAAAATTATCACAGCTCATTTTAATTATTATATAGCATAGAAAAACTTTAAAATTATCACAGTTCATTTCAATTATTATATAGCATAGAAAAACTTTAAAATTATCACAGCTCATTTTAATTATTATATAGCATAGAAAAACTTTAAAATTATCACAGTTCATTTCAATTATCATATAGCATAGAAAAACTTTAAAATTATCACAGCTCATTTTAATTATTATATAGCATAGAAAAACTTTAAAATTATCACAGCTCATTTTAATTATTATATAGCATAGAAAAACTTTAAAATTATCACAGCTCATTTCAATTATCATATAGCATAAAAAAACTTTAAAATTATCACAGCTCATTTCAATTATTATATAGCATAGAAAAACTTTAAAATTATCACAGTTCATTTCAATTATTATATAGCATAGAAAAACTTTAAAATTATCACAGCTCATTTCAATTATTATATAGCATAGAAAAACTTTAAAATTATCACAGTTCATTTCAATTATCATCCTAGCATAGAAAAACTTATTCAAATTATCACATTCGATTATGTTATAAAATACACAACTTATTAACATTATCACACCTCATTTTGATTATTATATATATAATACGAAATTTGAATAAAAAAAATTACATTCAAATTCGATTATTATATAAAATACAAAACTTATTAACATTATCACACCTCATTTCGATTATTATATAAAAATACAAAACTTGAATAAATATATCACGATAATTATATAGCATACAAAACGAATCACATTTCATTTAAATTATCATACTGTATAAAAAAACTTTAAATAACCACATCTCATTTCAATTATTACATAACATACAAAACGTATTAAAATTATGACATCACATTTCAATCATTATATAACATACTAAACTTAACTTTATCACATTTCATTTTAATTATTATATTACCTACAAAACGTATTAAAATTATCACATTTCATTTCAATTATTACATAACATACAAAACGCATTAAAATTATGACATCTCATTTCATTTATTATAATATAACATACTAAACTTAACTTTATCACATTTCATTTTAATTATAATATTACCTACAAAACGTATTAAAATTATCACATTTCATTTCGATAAGCAACGGCGCTATGATTAGCAACCTCCATTCTTTTGTATTCCATTCATGCGAAAGCCATGATCACAAACTGCTACTACAAGTGTTTCAATAAATTAGATCCATCTTTTCCTCTTCAACGTCTTCATTTTTTCTCGATTCTCTGCTTTTAGGAATTTCAGGAAGTCTGAAAACAGAATGTAGTACCTTAGTTAGTACATAATTATTATTACACAAATTAACATGCTTGTCTGTGATCACCTTTTTAAAGTCTTTCTTTCATTTCATATATATCAAATTTATCAGTGTAAATAGGGGTAATTGAAAAGTTGGCAAATAATTTTGTATGTATACTAATGTGGTAGTAATATGGCGTGAAAAAAACCCACGAAGAATGCTTTAAAGCTGTTTTCAGAGATTTCTGTAAAGTTTTTAATATCGTTCCAATGAGGGACTGGTTTATTTTTTAAAAAAATATACTTACTTTGCATATTTTTTAAGTAACTCGACCTTTTCTGCTTTCAAACAATCCTTTTCTATTCTACCCTCTGTGAGGTCCTTAGCTTGTTTCTTTAGTAAGAATGTCGAGTTTTGACTTAGTGGCTGTCCCAGAGGGTTCATATCTCTTTGTACAGAAGGGGGTCGTTTTCTCGGTGGTACTTGGTATTTTTTGTCCGACATATCTAATGGATTATCTACTATGTTATCATGCATAGACATAAACAATGGTATATAACACATATAATCCAGGAAGGAAATCTGAAAATAAAAGGAGGGTGAATCGTAAATATAAAATATAAGTGAGCATGCACAAAAGCATTACTTCAAAAGAATTACTTCACATGCTTAATCCTTTTAAATATGGGTTCCCTTATTTTCATTTATGAAAATGAAAATACTAATACTTATATGAATAGAAAGTAGAGGTGTTCTAATGACTTGGAAAAATACCAGTTTGTCTCACATGTCCTTAATGTATTCATAATAAGCTAAATAAGAAGAGAATTACCAGCAGAATTCCAATGCGTGGCCGATCAAGAAAGGTCAAGAAGTCTTTTTTTTTTGTTTATTCAGACTGTAGGCCTACATACATGGACATTTATGATTGGTTAACACTCTTAATTATATGCAATAAGAACATAATGACATGATTAAGGATACATGATAATTCATTAGAAACACTAATTAGTCATATAGTTTGCTTAATTTGAGACTAGAAATTAAGGAAACCCCTCTTTAAGTTAATTATATATTAAAACATAAAAGAACAAGAACAGCTAACGATCGGGAAATTGGATCGGGATCAACTCTTATATATCTATAACGACATTTAATTTCTGGCCTTGCCCATTGACGATATCACATCCGTATATAACGTCTAAGGAACCAGGTAGGGCCGTTTAGGTGAGTATTGCCAGCGTCACGAGTGGTGCGGGACAAGTGGCAGTATACTATCAAATTTAGTCAACGAAATATATAACAGAAGAATAATCTACCTCTCCCCAATCATTTGGTTCCATCTTCTCCATGATAAATTTCTGTTGCTTCCAATTCAGACCTCCAGCAATTAATTCAATTTTCAAAGATTCCGAGGTTATGAAATTAGAATCTCGATAACATGGTATATTGTGATAAAACATTGACTGGTATAAATCTAACTTTCTTTCTATATCAGCCAGGTTACACATTTCCATTAAATGTTTACTAATTGAACTGAAAAATATTACAGGAGAATATAACTACGTGACTGGGTATTATTCACTCTGGAAATGACAATAAAAAGACCTGTGCTTTGTTAAAACTTGAATGTCTTTGGCTGGTGCTTTCAGTAATTTTACTGAAACTTCAAGCTTAAATTTATAGGTGATTTTTAATACTTACTCCATGGCTGTTATTCTCTCACATAATGCCGTTACTACAGCAAACATACGAAATGTGACATGAGTGGCATCGTTTATATGTAAAACCTGAAAAAAAGAAGAGTAGTGTAGGCTACTATGAATCCGTCGTAAGAATTTTATGTACAAGGTCTCGACAACTCCAAAGTCTAGTAGTGTCAAAGGTAGCTGCAGGCAACATCCAAAGTCGAGTTCTGTCAAAGGTAACTGTGGACAACATCCAAAGTCGTGTTCTGTCAAAGGTAGCTGTGGACAACATCCAAAGTCGAGTTCTTTCAAAGGTAGCTGTGGACAACATCCAAAGTCGAGTTCTGTCAAAGGTAGCTGCAGACAACATCCAAAGTCGAGTACTGTCAAAGGTAGCTGCAGGCAACATCCAAAGTCGAGTTCTGTCAAAGGTAACTGTGGACAACATCCAAAGCCGAGTTCTGACAAAGGTAGCTGTGGACAACATCCAAAGTCGAGTTCTTTCAAAGGTAGCTGTGGACAACATCCAAAGTCGAGTTCTGTCAAAGGTAGCTGCAGACAACATCCAAAGTCGAGTACTGTCAAAGGTAGCTGCAGGCAACATCCAAAGTCGAGTTCTGTCAAAGGTAACTGTGGACAACATCCAAAGCCGAGTTCTGACAAAGGTAGCTGCAGACAACATCCAAAGTCGAGTACTGTCCAAGGTAGCTGCAGACAACATCCAAAGTCTAGTTCTGTCAAAGGTAGCTGTGGACAACATCCAAAGTCGAGTTCTATCAAAGGTAGCTGCAGACAACATCCAAAGTCGAGTACTGTCAAAGGTAGCTGCAGGCAACATCCAAAGTCTAGTTTTGTCAAAGGTAACTGTGGACAACATCCAAAGTCGAGTTCTGTCAAAGGTAGCTGTGGACAACATTCAAAGTCGAGTTCTGTCAAAGATAGCCGTGGACAACATCCAAAGTCGAGTTCTGTCAAAGGTAGCTGTGGTCAACATCCAAAGTCCTGTACTGCTAAAGGTAGGGGCGCCTGAATTTAAAGGTATCTAAAAGGTTGTGAATACGGGCTATGTCTGATTTGAAAAGAATCTTTTTTACCTTGAATACGTAGTCTTTCTGTTTATTGGTAACATGTTGTGCTGTGGGTATACCATCTAAAGCTGTACGGATTTCCTACAAAACATGTTTAGTATAGTGACTACCCGAAGATTGATACCAAACCAATGATTGTAACGTATATAGATAGAAACATTCCAATTAATGGCACTAATTATACAACTTCTTCTGTTGCTGAATGATGTCGTATCTCCTCTCGCATTTCAATGAGTCTGATTGAGAACATGAGAGGATCATTTGTGTTAAAATGTATCTTAAACCATGTAAATATTACCAAATAATTTCCTACCTTGTAAGTGATTACAGTATCTAGATTGCTGTCTTCTACGACAAATGCTTTGGCATACGAGTCTATTTTATTTGGATCAACAAGACGATAATGGCACATATAATCAATTGATGAATCTGAAATTGACAATAATTGGTAAACGAACGCAACTTACCAACCGGTTTGAATAAACAATGTGGAGGTATTACAAACTCCCTCTAATAGCTTGAAATAATTAGGCATTTTTTTGTACCACATAATGTTGTGAATGCAACGATCTGATTGGATTGTTCTCTTGCGAATATACTCGATCACAAACATATTGTTTACAGTCTTCCTATGGAGGACTTTGATTGGCTGTATTTCTAGCGTACAAACCAGGTCGTTACTTTTACACATAACTAATGAAGTCAAGGCATTGGACGGAGTTCTGACACCATGACATTGTAAAGATGCAACCAAGTATACAGTTGATAATGAAATTAAATCTCTCTTTATGTATATCGGACCCAGAATTTATAATACAAGTCAACAAGATGTGCCACTTTATGGTTGACAAAAATTTTTAAAAAGTTAAATATTATGGACATTCATTTCAGCACATACCTTTTTCATCTATATTTGATGCGAAGTCGTTTTTATATTTTTGAAAGTCTGTCTCAGATGCATCTAACAGAAGGATGAAATGAATGATTGATTAAAATGAATGAATGAATGAATGAATGAATGAAAGAACAATGGATTAAAGTATGACCACCAATAAAATGATTGTGAATAGTGAATCTGGTTTTTTAGGTACAAGCGAACATAGATATACCAATCATGGTACATGTTATATCTTGACGAGACAAATTTAACCACACGATAAATAGGAGACATAATTATCGTAAAAATACAAATATCTTTCGTGACATAGCAAACAGCAACCGAAATTACAACGACTACCAGCAACTCGGAGATTCTGATCATTGTGGGATTTGATCTCTCTGAGCGAACTTACTACTGAAAAAATTCAGTTGCTGCCAGTTGCCATTAGTTACTCTAATTCCAGCTAAATCAGATTTTGTCGTCACCCAGTTGATAAGGTCCAGTTCGAGCACTAAAATCATTTCGAGGAAAGTATCAACAAATATTAACCTCTTTCGTCTAAGTCCTCGGCGTAGTATTCCTTCAGTTTACTGCTGTCTAAAACTTTCTGTAAATGAACCTGAAGTTGTGATCCACCAGCACGTAATAATAAATTCACTCTTCTGACTCCAGTAACTATAAGAAATATAAAGATCTTTCAAGATATCCATGTACATCTCTTGTACTGGTTTTAATATTACAAAAATTCCATATATTACGTTGGAATTCCAGATCCCAACATTGTTATAGGTTTATGACTAAATATGGAGATATTCCTCAATTCTTCTCAGATTTTAAATGGATTGAGTTGCTGCAAAAATCTTGATTAAGATTGGTTAGGTGTGGAATTCCAGAAATTTAATATGAAAGATATTTAATAGTATGCCTACTGTCTTTAGATTTGATAATACTCTTTTCTCTATCCAGAACATCTATTAAATCTACATCTTCATTGATATTTTCTCTATAAAACTCATAGTCATCTTCTTCTTCAAACAGAATATTATCACCAAGTTTCTCCTGTAATATAGCACAATACAACCATAAGAAAGAACAGATAAACAGAAAGAAACAACTATATTTTAGCATTTCACAGCAATATAGGTTAAGGTCATCAAACTTTCACCCACCGACCGAGATTAGAACCCACGCCAACCATTTGTTCGACGTAACCTAGCTAATGCAACGCAAGCAATGCAGACATAAATATACCAAATAAATAATATTATCTATGTGGACTTTACTAAAGGGATGGGGAATTGACAACCCAACTGCAGAGTGGAACAAGGCTTACTTGTCCAAACCGCAAGACATATCTTGTACCTCATATGCAATCAAAATACATGTACATGTAATTCAATTCTTCAATTGGGATGTTTCATACCTTTAACTTTTTGATAATTTCAGCTTCTGATAAATTGGGATCAATACCAAGTTTTCTTAGGTCGTCTGCACTTAATTTCTTAATATCTATTTTTTCTCCTGGTTTTAAAGATATATTTCCATTTTCATCCACAGAGAACTTTTTCCATTGGCCTAAAAAAGAAATCATATGCATGGGCAGTCCAGAACAGAGGCCAAATATAACTGTGAACATAGAATGGGATAAATGGTCAGAAATGAACTGTACCATCAGGTTCTGCAACTTCATGTCGGTACTCTTCAGGTTTCATTCGTTGGGGGCCCATTTCATTCATTGTCCAGTCGTCCACCATCCTTGACATTAATCTCAAATAAATCCATTTCATTTCAAAAATTTTCATGGGATGAGAATGAAATCATTTCAGCTGAAAGGCCTATCTATGTTGGAAGATATGATAATTATATAAATAAAGGTATTGGTATACACTCACCTGGTTTCTGACTATTGTCGTCCTCTAAATCTTTCTTTTCTGAAATTAAATTCAATAAATAAACTAAGTACGAACGATCGAACCGGAAAACGAAACCCGAATCCAAAACAAGCATCTGGTAGCAGCTAATGAACTTTTCACATGAGGAATGAAGCATACAAACAAATAAACTGCAGATTGGTTGTCCACCCTTTGGCACTTCAGGACAATAAAACGAATTTGGCAATAAAGATATGGCTAACGATATGGGTACACCTAGTCTTTTGCTATTTCTGATTGCTCGGAGTTCGGTTTGGGAAAAGCCTTTTTATATGTCGGCCAACTTAGTTCGTAGTTAGATTCTGGTAACAAGGTCAGGCCCGTAGCATGTTGGATAGAGTGTTAGCATGTCCGATGAAGTTAAGATTGTATTATGTAAAAAGGTTACCAGGTATTGGACTATTTCCGAAGTGTTTGTCTTTCTTAGCTTTATCTGTGGTGGACTCTTGGTTTTTATCTGAAAGAAATTACATGTGAAACTAACTATAGAGGAGCAAAGCTGATCTAATTCAAATGTATCTTCTGAAAGGTTTGTGGCCATTTCGGCAACCACAGTTTCTAAAAATTTGACAATTGTTCATGTTTGACAAACCACATGTTGTAACGGAGGGTTTGCATCCAAATATGTATTCTATAAAGAAAAGTCAGCTGTAGCCTACCTGTTCCATATTTTCTGTTCAAACTGTTAAGTTTAGCTGTCGGTGTATAATCAAAAGCTGAAGAATCTGAAACATAAAATGCAGATGAGTTTCCGAAGTGTACGAATATACATACGCAGCTGGGGTGATGCACTTTATTTACAGCGTACCTTTTCAGAAAAAAGATTTATCTATTTACCTTTGCCCTTTCTGTTATTACTATTCTTCAATTCTCTTGGTTTTCTTTTCCAACTGAAAAAATTGGCATATATTTGGCTGATATTTTTCCAAAATAAATGCATTTTCAAGCAATTGATAAAACTGGTCAAATCAATATATATTTAAAGTTTTCTAAACTTTTGGTGTGTATTGGGGACGTTAATCGATTTGTATCAATCCAATTTTCAGTCAGAGGTCCATGGTTCTTATAATTCCACTAAAACTAAGCGTTTCATGATTTCAGTACCGAAGGCAGATAAGAACTTACTCTGAATGTGTTAAACCAGCATCTCTGTTATCTGTTTTAGTAATAGGTGTGTTCAGATCTCTTGCCGCACCTTTTTCATAAGTAACCATACTCTGATGTTTGCCATTGGGAGTTGTAATAGGTCTTTGACTCATGACGCTTTCTCTTCTTTTCTCCTTTAGAGCATCAGCTATTCTTTGGTTCTCTCTTTCTTTCTCTATGTTTTCATTTGTGAGTTCTCGACGCAAATTTTGCCTGAAATAGGGACAGGTTTCTGGCATTTTTGAACTCTTTCAAACAAAGGGAATGCTATGGGGAAATTAAGAAGACCATTTACCAGTATCTTGTCTGCCGAAAGAAGATGACCTGTTGAATAGGTGGATTTTGGATTATTGAATTTCATAATCAGAAGTTATAAAAACAGCGTTTTAATTTCTTACATTTCTCTTTTTTCTCTCATTTCCTTTTCTCGTTTCTCCCTTTCTTTCTGTTTTTTAACCTGTTCCTCAGCAACCTTCTTTTTCTCTTCCTCAGTCAACACTTCACCAGCCTTACCACGTGAACCCTTTTCTCTAGAAATGGTCTTCTCCCTCGACATCCCCGGTTTATCTTTATCCCGAGGCCCACCAAGTCGCTTGTACTGATCATCAAAATTAGGCAGTTCAATATTTGGTTTATCTGAAGGTTTGACACCAGGCCATGATGGATCATACACCCTTTCATTCAGGCGATTAAACTCCTCCAGCTTTTCTCTCTGTCTTTGTTCTTCTGCTGCTTGTTCTTCTACATCAACATCCATAGAATCCGCAACACCATCAAGTTGTCGTAGTTTCTCGGCCATGTATCTATCATAGGCTGTTTCAGACCTAAAAAAAGAGGCTAGTTGGTGTTACAAAAAAACGAAAGCTTTGACCGAATATTAACCGGATTAAAGATTCTCTTGCTGAAATAGGGAGGTGAGTTTTCCGCCAATACTTTGGATAATTGAAAGTCAGCTTTATTGTTGGTCTGACAAGTCTGAGCTTACCCAGTCGTATATCACGTCTGAGAAACTGGGTAAGGACATATTTGTTGGAACACTGTATTGTGTGGTACGAACAGAAGTGGGATTTGTTAAAACATTTGTTCCTTATTAGGTTGTATAAAACTACAAGGTAATACAGAAACTCATCGCTTACCCATCTGATATCGAACCTGTAAGAAAAAAAAGAAAGAAAAAATATTTATAATATTATATGTATAATATGTCTGTCTCTTAAATTCTCTAAACAGGGATACCACGTCAGCCCTGTCACAGTAAGTGTGCCTGAAGATCGAGTACTTCTTGTCCAGTTTTCAGTAACAGCTATCAATTTTATTAAATGTATGCAGGGAAATTAAATAAAAGAAAAAAAACATTGCTTGTTGGTGTTGTTGTAGTAGTAGTATATAATAATAGGAAAATACATAAATGTAGAACCCTTTTAAATTAATTTTTGTAAAAACGTGAGATAAGGTAACACACTCACCCCTTCTAGGAGATATGGAACCGGTAGAGATATTATCATTAACTACTTCTGATTCACCATAACCTATTACATTACCATCCTCATCACGTAACCTCTTCTGTTTAGTCACTGTCCTAGTTCCCCCCTCACTTACATCACTTTTATAACTATAGTCACTTTCTTCAAAATCACTATCTTTAGATTGGCTAGTGACTCTAGTTTCATTGTCTGTATTTTCTTTCTCCTCTCGACGTTTCTTCCTTCGTTCTGCCCCCTCTTCATCTTGACTACTATGATACGATTCACTATCGCCGTACGTTCCGTCCTCGTTTTTCTTCTTACGACGTACCTTTCGCGTCCCTCCGGCGGAATAAACGCTGCGATAACTAAAGTCACTCTCACTATCACTGTTCCGTTTTCCAGCTTCATAATCGGCCTTTTCAGCTTTTGACATCTTCTTTTTGTCGACTTTTCCTTTAGTTTTTGTGCCTTTCTTTATATTCATTAGTCTAAAATTAATAAGGAAATAAAATAAAAATATCAAAATTCATTTCGATGTCTAAACGTACATTTTTTGAATTATGAAGTCTAATTTAGGTACAGAATATATTTCCAGCACATTTCCAATATTTGCTATTTAACATGGAGTCAAAGTGCAGGCTTCATGGAATATAGTTTCTAAATGATAGTTTTAAATGGAATTGACGTCCGTCTAATTAATGTGAAAAGTGTTAAATTGTTGGAGAGCAGAATTAATATATGACATAGATAGCTGAGAGTTTTATCAGCTGGTTAAGAAAAAATAGAGGAGAATATATACCCCCATTCACATATTTACTCATATCAACCCTTATTGGCTTCAGTTTGTAGGATAGTAACTTTGTGTTTTCTTTTACTTACTTTTTGACTAATTTCCCAGTTTTAGGATCTTTAACCATGATGTAAGTATTTCCATCTTCATCTACAAACTGATTCTTTGCTAGAAAAAATAATAATTCAAAAACATTTGTCAACAGGTCAATTTATATCAAGTTGAAAAATTTCAATTGATAGTACGGATAAGTTTGAAAAGGGCATGTATATTTCACTTACTGAGATAGTTAAACGACAATTGGTCAACGACGTAATATAAATCAATAGAAATTCCAATATGGAATATATTTAGTTATAAATTGAACAAACACATTACAAAATTATCGTTTTATTTTCAAATTCAAAATATAAAAAACATGATAAAATGATAAAAACAACAATAAAACACACGAATTAAACGATTCGGTTTCAGCACTTTGGTAGGCCCTACATGTTGATAGCGAGTATCAGCAAGAAACACTTTGGTAATAATCGAAACACTAATCTAAATATGGCACTCGTGGAATTCATGGTAATAAATATATAATTTTATAGTACATTGCATAAAACACACATAGCCTACACACACCAGAATCAAATACCGGTTTGTTTATCAAAGTAAATGCAAAAATTCATAGTAAGTATGAAAGTATGTTCGATTATCAGGGTTTTTTGATCAGATCAGTACTTCAGGTTCACGTTATGTCAACGTGGCTTTCGACTTTTGCAGATTCCTTGGCGACAAAATTTATCATATCCTATCTGGAATGTGTTCAGTTAAATTTCAGAATCTGGTGTTTTTCGCGTTGGTTCCTTTTCCAGCAACTTTGGTAACCTGAAAATACATGTAGTATTAGTGTAAATGAATTAAAAAAGAAATAACAATGCGTTTTTCATTTTGATAAGACATTGTTACAATTAAAAAAAGGTCAAGTCAAATAAAATTTGAAAGTCTGTCATAGATTTGGTAGTTCTGCACAATGTGGAAGATTAAGCCATTTTTATCTGAGACAACCAGATACTTGCAAAGCTTAAAAACCGGGTTGCATAGATGTATCTAGGAATTTTAGTTAGAATCGGACGATAAATTCTTCCAACATCTACCAATCAACCAATCTTGAACCATGACTCCCATCCAATGCCACTTTTGGAGTTTTTGAATTACGCTAGCAATAAATGAGTTGGCATTATAAAGAGAAAATCACTAGGTTATATACTAACTTGGTATATTTTTGTAACATATCACGTTTTTCGGCTCGAATATCTTCCATTTTAACCTTTCCTTCTAACAATTCTTTAGCTTGTTGTCTCATCTGGTAGGAAGATTCTCGTTTTAATGGGAAACCAAGTGGATTGATGTCTCGTTGTTTTTTACTACCAGATGGCTTCCTCATCATAGCTTCATACTTGTTATCCGACATATCTAATGGATTATCTACTATGTTATCATGCATAGACATAAACAATGGTATATAACACATATAATCCAGGAAGGAAATCTGAAAAGTGAATAAGAAACATTACATACGTAAATAAAAAAAAACCAGTATGCAAAGCTTCTAAGTCAACAACTGATTAAAATCTTGAATTTCAAGGGAGATAACTGATACAAAAAAATGACAGTCAATTGCAATAAAGTTACTGATTAAAATTTTCCAATTCAAGGGAGGTAACTGATACAAATTATTCTAACAACCGATCATACAAATTTAAATGAAATCCAACTTTCACGAAAAATATTAATATAGGATCCTGTGAACCAAAGATACTTTCATCATCAGTTTCAATAGCCTAAGCATTTGTTGTATCATAACAATTTATATCATATTATAAACGAGCACAGATATGCCTGCTCATCTCTCTGTTCTGATTTAAAGCATGGGAAATCCACGTTATTTTTAGGGTAGTGTGCGTTGGAATGGACAGAATACGTCTGGCTTTTTTGGCTTTAATTTCTATTTCTTATACCTAAAAATAATTAAACTGATCATGTTTATATTTTGTATCGGGCCCATGAATGCAAAAATATCTTGGCTATATATTATACAATAAATAATTATACTATAAATAAGTGCCCATTTGCAATATACCTCATTCAACCAGTTTGGTTGTAATCTATCCATAACAAACTGTTGTTGTTTCCAGTTTAAACCACCAGCTATCAGATCTATACGTAAAGCATCAACTTTAATATAACTAGAATCACCATCTGTATTAGCACTATTAAACATAGATTTATATAAATCCATCTTCCTCTCTATATCTAATAAATCACATATTTCTAGTAGATGTTTACTCAACGGACTGGAAAGAAAAATACCATTCTGGTTAATATTATGCCATTAGGTAGACCTATACTGCTCAGATGGAACTCGTTATATATATATATATACGCCTATATATATCACGTGAAGAATATGCCAAAATTCAATGATTCTTCACGAACATTGTAAGTCACTAGGTACAGAAGTGATTCGGATGAACTGTTTTACTTACTCCATTGACGTGACTCGTTCAGAAAGAGCAGTCATAACAGCAAACATTCTAAAGGTAATCTGTGAGGCATCATTAATATTTAATACCTGTAATAGAAGATATGGTTATAGCATTTTATATTTCTACAGAGTTTATCACATACAACAGACACGACAGTATATCCAGAAGATTCGAAGATATTTACAATAAAACTGATTTTTTCTATGGTATCTCTATATAATATTTTTTAACAGCAAATCTCTAAAAAGAAAGACTGAATATTAACACACCTTCAAAACATACTCTAACTGTTTAGTTGTTATTTGTTGTATACTTGGTACACCACCTAAAGCCATTCTCGTTTCCTGCAACATATTGAAAATGTCAATTGTAAGTTTACATAGTGTGATGCTAGACGATCAAATGATCAGTTCTGAGAAGACGGGCTATCTGAAAATTCTAGACAAATCACTGGTTAGTTTTTCAGTTTTGAAATGCATGATGCTATATAGCAAATTTCAATTGCGACCAAATGGTCTGATCGAAAACTCTACAGAATTTATGAGAGCATAGGGATTTGATAGTGTATGATGTTTTTAGAACTAATAAATACCTCATAAGATAAACATATATCTCGGTTACCATCTTCTACACAGAATGCTCGAGCATACGATTCTAGTCTACCACTGTCTACCAGACGATAATGAGATAAGAAGTCGATATCACCATCTATAAGATAGACATAAAAAAATACTCAAGATAGACATACAAAATATTCAAGATAGACATGCAAAATAATCAAGATAAACATGCAAAATAATCAAGATAGACACGCAAAACAAATTTGCATTATTGAAGTTGGCATTATAGTCGGCATTATTGAAGACATCATGCATCAATAACCTGTGCTCATTTTGGCATTGACTCCCTTCATTATTTAATAATTCTCACCTTTTTCATCGACATCGTTATAATAATCATCATCTCGTAGTTTACTCAATTCTAAAACTTTCTTCATAAAGTCAATGATTTCCTGTCCACCTCTTCTCATTAATACATTGACTCTTCTTGTACCATGTACTGTTATAATAGAATAAATACTTTAGATGATCGTGGTGGAATGTATAGAATATTGAGGAGGATCATTCATTTCGCAGAACTTAAAACGTGCAGAAAAGACATAGATGCAGCTAACTGATCAGTTGCCATTTGGATTTACCAAAATGCAAGACAGTGCTTGACTGCTTGGAAAACAGAGCCCTTATTTAGGGTCTGTAAAGAAGTTTTCTTAACTTTTTATGTGTACATTGGGCCACTGATGGTATAAATTTGCACCATTGTAATTTATATTCAGATGAGGTCCTGAGATATCATTACCAACTTTTGCGATGGTGTCGTTAAATAACGCTTAATTTTATAGGAACCACATATGTCTGACTGAAAATTGAAATGGTGCAAATTGATGCTCTAAGTGTCACAGATACACATAAAAACCATTTTATAAGCGCCTGATCCATCAGGTCCTCGTGGTTCCCTTTGTGCATTCAGGGTGGTCTAGTTCTGTTATTATATTTAAAGAATGGTACCACTTACAATCTGATATGTCAAGATCGCTATCATTAGCTAGTTCATCAGTACCAACATCGCTACCATACTCATAGAGATGCTTAGTGCCAATCTTAGTATCATTATCAGTTATAAGTAAACCGTCACCAAACATCTCCTACAATTTAAATAATACAGTATTAAAATCATGTAACAATATTAGGTCTACCATTCAAGACGTGTCTCCTTATCCTTAATATCTGGGGGTGCACTGTTAAAGTCATGTTGCTACCCTAGTGACATAAGGACGCATTACTTTGTTGAAAAGTTGACCAAATACAATGCGAAATCGCGATCAAGCTATCTTCAGATAGCCATCCTTCTGTCGTACAATCTTCACTTTACGTTAGACATCCCCTCCCGTATTGTAAAGAAGTCTTAGTACCTTAAGTTTACGAGCGATTTCTTGTTTAGACGCATTAGGATCTATTCCTAGTTTGATAAGAGCATCAGCTGTTAGTCTATTAATATCAATCTTCTTTCTACCAGCTTTTAATTTAATCATCCCCTTCTCATCCACTTCAAAATAATCTCCATCTGATTTCTGACTGTCTCTTCTCTTATCAACCTTCTTTATACTCTTCACTTTACCATCTTCATCTGAAATCATGCTTACATAAATTAGAAACCTTATGTTGTATACCAATTTTTGGTATTGTCCGAGGTCATTCCTAAGGTAATCAGCATAATACACATCAAATGATGTGGGCGTATGGATAAATACTTTGAATACTGAAGCAACGTAACTGAAAAGGGACTAGAAGGTATACAATTCAAAGACTCGAGATCCAATTCAGAATGTGTTTAAAGAGACTGAACTGGTAATTTACAGAGTATTAATATTCTGACAAAATCTAGTTCTTGGGTCTGGATTAAACTACTGGTAAAACCTGGATACCTACCATATTCATACTCATATTCTGATCCGCTTCCATCACCCTATAATATAAATATACCAAATTCAACCAGATCCTAGTACCAACTACTACGATTACCAACAACTACCAGCTCAAAGCGGGGATTGACATGTAATCTAGCAACAAACCTTATAGAATAAGAGGTCGTGTTTTGATGCAAAACAAACCAGCATGCAATTTCGATCATCTATCAATCTTCTGATGAGAACATTAGGAACGACAAATAATGAACATTAAACTTACATAGCCTCCTTTCTTTTTCTTCTTTTTGGTTACTCTACCCTTATCATCATATTCCTGCAACAAATCACAAAAATATCCTAGGCATATCTTTCTTTTGAAAGTTACAAGTAAAGAAATACAATGAAATGAACAATAAAACGAGTTGTGCGTCCTACTTTTCTGTATCTGATTGGGCTGATGTAAACTGGCAACGCCATTTAAACTGTCAAAGGGATCTTTAACATCTTTAACGTGCACTTCCAGTAGCATACGCGGCTTCGGCGTATTGCCCGCTCTACACGCTTTTTCAACGCCAGCCCCTCCAACCTGCATCACTGATAGAAACCAAAGGAAAAGGTGACACACAACAAATATGCAAATGATAACTTACATATTCATACTGAGATTCCTGGCTTCCAGGCCGAGCACCATGTTTATCTTTTTTCTTCTTTTTGTGATGAGTTCCACCAGCTGATATCACCGATTCTATATAAAATAAAAATATATCAGTTATTTACTTATTAAGGAGAAATATCTGAATATTAGCAAATGATTATATGATAAATTACTAATTACTGAAATATTATTTGTAGAATATAACAGGAGACTCGCGTCTCTAAGATATAGGATGTATATTGAAGTACTTCTTTCAGTTCTTAAGCATACCTATGGTTTAGATTAACACATCGTCGTTTAGAACAAAATTTCATAGATATCCTTCGATTGCAAAGTTCGGTTTACAAAATGTAATAAATGTAATACTTACCGGTTGTTAATCTTGATAAGAAAGATAATCTACATCTACACACGAAGCAGAAGGCAAAAGGGTGATGAGAAGAAATTGAAAGCGGAAAATATATCAGTAGCAAATAATAATACGATAGCTAATATAAAGCGATAATAATGACATGGTTAAAGTAAAGCGATAGTAATGCGATAACTAAAATAAAGAGATATCTAAAATATAGCTATAAAAATAATGCGTTAGCTATGATAAAGCGACAGTTGAAATATCGCGGAAGTAATGCAATAACCAATATAAAACGATAGTTAAAATTAAGCAGTAGCTAATATAAAGCGATAGCTAAGATAGAGCGACAAATGCGAGAGCTAAGATAAAGCAAACAAAAAAGCGATAGCGAATATAATGATATATCTAAAACCAGCTATAAGCTACAATAATGTTTTAACTAAAATAAAACATAAAAATGTGACATTTACAATAAAGCGAACATAATGTGATAGCTCAGATAATAGCGATAATGTTCTGATAGCTAAGATAAAGCTATGATAATGTCATAACTAAAAATGCAATAATAATGCGAAACCAAAGATAAGATAAACAAAAACATGAAGCTTAGTGCTGAAAGAATTAGGTCTAGTTTTGAGAACGAAAAATAGAAGTTTCTTTAAAAAATACATTTCTTACAAACTAACCTTCATCACTTTCATCGTCTGCTTCATGACCATCTTTAGTTTTCTTCTTATTTTTACTGAAAAACAAATATTTATAAAAGTTTTATTTTTGATTAATACCACAGACATCGCCAAATTTATGTTATTATACATCGTGTGTAATGTCATTGATTGAAAGGCCTGTACCTACGGTGAAATATTCGTAGAAATGTGGAAGCTGATCCATTAGGGCTTTAACCAAATACTTCATTAAGAAAATCAAATCGAGAATTACTGAATGGTTATGAGGAGCCAGTAGCTGGTAAAGATGCAGTAGACTTACCCGTCATGAGGTCCATTCTCCTTAACAATAGGATCAACCACACTTCGTCTTGCACCTTTATCATAGCTCACCATACTTTTAGGTTTCTTACTCTCAGCCAACTTTTTAGCCCTTTCTTTCTCTTTCTTACGTCTACAAAAACAATTTGTATTTTTATGAAGAATCAGTTAGTTACATTTATATTGTAAATATATCAAAAAATGATATTCGCCGCTACAGGACAGGAATCGGGATAACCCAAAAATGTGTTAAATAAAAAGTCATTAATGTTTAAGCACAAGGTGATTTTCCATCCAACACAGTTTCAGCACAATAACCTTCCAATTAATAAAAAACAACAGAGCACAGGAGTCGCTAGTTTTAGTCACAATTATTTGAGTTTAAAGCTAGCAAAAATCAGAACAGATTTTGAGCACTGTAAAGTTAAAATCACTAAGACCATGTTCATTAGAGTTTAAGCAATTAAGAAAGTTATAAGCTTAAAGCACAGTAAAGTTAAAATCACTCGGACAATTTCTGAGAAAGCTATAAGCTTAAAGCACTGTATAATGTATCACAGGGACAAAGCCCATTAGAGTTTTAAGCACAAAGTAGTTAAGAAAGTTATAAGCTTGTAAAGTTCAAATCACCTGGATAATGTCTATCAAATTTTTAAAGCACAAAGTAATTAAGAAATTTATAAGCTTATAAAACGCTTAAAATCACTAGGATATGGTCCATTGGAGTTTCGAGCACAAAATAGTTAAGAAAATTATAAGCTTAAAGCACTGTAAAGTTTATAATAGATCTCAAAGACAGTGTCCAATAGACTTTTAAGCTCAAAGCACATAGTTAAGAAAGGTATAAGCTTAAAGCACTGTAAAGTTTAGTCACATTAGGGTTTTAACAACAAAGCAATTAATAAAACTTATAAGCACATTAAGTGCTCAGCACTAAACACCAAGATCGGGTCGAATGATTAATGTTCGGTGCAGCTCAGAATATTATCATTCATTCTGTGCAATATTATAGGTCGAACATCCAAACCACAACACGCAAATGAAATAAAAACCAACTTGTCATTTTGGGTCACCATTTCATCATATTTATCGCCGTATTTTTCTCTCCTTCTAGCTTCTCTCGCCTCTTTTCGTTTAGCTTTCCCTTCAAAATATTTCTTCTTTTCCTCCTCTGTCATATTTTCTAAGTCGACATCATCAGATTCTGTGCTGTCGCTGAAGATAGCGGACGAGGGTCTCCTCTTTCCCTTTCCTTTACCCTTTCCCTGATTCTTACCACCTTTTCCACCTTTCTTGGGATTTTCCTTCTTCACTCTCATTTTTCCGCCCTTACCATCAGAAACCTCAGTGTAAACACTGACAAGAGAACAATCATAATCATTTTTCTAATATCTAATTAACATATCTAATTAATAAGTTCTAGGTTCTGCATCTATCTAAAACAGTTTCAGACAATCCAACCTATGAACTGCATCTATCTAAATAAATATTCTATGCACTGCTTCTATCTAAGTAAGTATTAGAACCGTCACTTACAACAGCATTGCATCTATCTAAGTACAGTTTTAGAACAATCTAATCTATACATTGCATCTATCTTAGTACAGTTTTAGAACAATCTAATCTATACACTGTATCTATCTAAGTAAGTATTGGAACAGTCTAATCTATCCAAGTATACTTTTAGAATAGTCTATGTTTGTGTACTGTATCTATGGTGTATAATTTTAGAACAGTCTAACAAAATGTACCAAACATCAATTTATCTATTAGGATATTAAACATCCATGACAGACGTTATTTCATCTGAAGTTCATCAGATAAGTTACTTTAAGTTTTAAAACTTACCTTTCATCGTCTGAAAATACAAAAGAAAAAATACTTGATAAATGCATATATGTAGAAAGTGGTGTTACTAGGAAACATTACGGTTGGGATGAGTAGGGGCCACACAATTTTCTGGGGGTGCGGGGGGGTGGGGGGGGGAGTGAGGGGGTGGAAAGGCCTTCTTTTCAATATGCAAAATGATAAAAAAAATTGGGGGGGGGGGGGAACCCGGGCCATATTCTTTTCTGGGGGGTGGGGATTTAGGATTTAGAATTCGATCAAATAGAATGACAAACAGTTGCTGTTAGACTATTCAACTGTTCAACTTTGACCTACCTGAAGAATAGGACTCAGCGGATGCATAACCAATAACCTTCCCGTCCTTATCTTTTAACTTTTTCTTCCTCTTTCTGTGGTGAGTTCCACCAACACTAACTTCACTATAGTAACTGTGTTCACTGTCACTGCCATGTTCTCTTCTCTTCTTCTTCTTTTTGGACGCCAGGCCACCACCTTCTAGTTCGCTATCTGAGCTATGGTATGATTCACTAGCACTATAGGTACCATCAGCTCTCTTCTTCTTACGTCTAACCTTCCTCGTACCACCTTCACTAACGACACTATAGTAACTATGAGCACTACCTTCATGAGCTCTTTCTCGTCTTCGTCTTCTTCGTCTTGCCTGACCCTATTAAGGATGATTTAAAACAAGCTGTTGCATTTGGAACTAATCCCAATATAAACCCCGTCCCTGGACTAATATTACCAATTACCCACGAAGCTCATCATTGGACAAAGAACGAAAAGCTTTTACATCGATCCTGACTATTTTGGAATACCAGTTGGTATAAGTTGGATATGCCAACTCGTAGTTCCTTTCTGATAGTTCACTCTAGTAATAGCGTTATTGTATATAATAATTCGTTTTTTATCCAACATTATCATAAAACTTTTACCAAAATCGTGATATAAGAAAGCCTGACTTTTAGTCTTGTGAAAACTGACGGCCTTCATATTAGAGGACTTCATGAAGGCATCTTACCTCTTCGTCTTGATCACTATGATAGGATTCAGGTTCACTGTAAGTACCATCAGCCTTCTTTCTTCGTCTAGTAACATGTCTGGTTCCTCCATCACTTTTATAACTTTTATAACTATACTCGCTATCACTGTCCTCATCACGTTTACCAGCTTTACGACGAGCTCGTTCTTTAGGTGTTTCTTCTTCATACTCGTCCAAACCTCCAGCTCCACCTCCTTTCTTCTTTCTACCTTTACCTCTTCTCATACTAGCTATACCACTATCAACATCTGATTCGTTCTGCCCAATTTTCCTACAATTTACAAGACAATGTTTTAAAGACACGAAATAATACGTCCATGGACATAATATACAATCTTTCTATTCTTATTTTTTCTTACATTAGTATTGATATTGATCTACTGTATCAAATATCCACAAATAATTTTCGGAAAAAGCTTTCAAAACAAGCTATTGCTAAAACCAATGGATTATTCTCCAGGTCATAAAGATTTGACAGGGAATTCATGGAATGTAAATTTAAATCGATTTTATTCATATTATAACTGAAATTAGTTAATCATCCATTTCTTAAATAAATGTAACTTACTTTTTATATTTTTTACCAGTAAGAGGATCTACTACTACTTCATACACAGCACCATCTTTACCCACAATACGCTGTCCAGCTTTAGCTGAAATATAATAAAAAGATGAATTCTAAAATCAGAAAAATTAGTATTCTACAATATAACATGGAAAAAGAGTTTCCAATAAATTAAAATCCAACCAAATCAAGGCTGTATCTAACTGATCAATTCTATTTTCGTTTGGGGTTAAATCTTGTTTAGTTGCCTTCTTCATAACGGAACAATTGTGTTGAGAATATAACAAAAACTTTTCCTCACCCTTTTTAAATTCTATATCATCAGAAGCAGCAGAATACACAGTGGACGCTTTCTCCCAGTCTTCAATCTCTTCACCCTTTTCTAAAGTGATGAATTTCTTGAGGAAGTCAGGATTACCACCCGATTCCTGGAATTCTTTATACTCATCTTCCGTCATCATAATAGTCTTTTCAATCAGGCGACCACTTTTAGTACGTATGGTAGTCTTTACTACCTTCATTGGCTTCCCGTCTGGTGCTTTTTCCCACGAGGTCACCTCTCCGTCTTCCTCGTTCATATATTTCTTTAGAATATCCTTTGGATCACCACCACCTTTGATCATTTTGTCATAATCCTCGGCACTCACCAAGATTGTCTTTTCTATTAACCGTCCACTTTTAGTTCGTATGGTAGTTTTAATAGCTTTCATGGGCTCGGCACTCTGCCATGATTCTAGCTGTTCGCCGTCTTCTAGAGGAAGATACTTCTTTAGAATATCACTAGGATCATGACCATCCTTGATCATGGCATCGTAATCTTCCTGAGATATCATGATTGTCTTTTCAATTACACGTCCACTTTTTGTTCTAACAAACGTCTTAATTGTTTTCATTTTGGCTTCGTCCCATCCTTCAATTGTTTCGCCATCTTGAGTTTTAACATATTTCTTCAAGATATCTTTAGCGTCTTTCTTGCCCTCTTTGATGGCTTCATAATCATCTTTAGAAACGTACACCATTTTCTCGATGATTCTTCCACTTTTAGTTCTAACCAATGTCTTGATGGCCTTAACCTCGTCTTTATCCCACGATTGAAGTCCAGCAGCTTCGTCTTTGGACAGATACTTCGACAGAAGGTTCTTGACATCTTTTCCTGATTTAAAAGCTTCATAATCTTCCTCAGATAAGAAAATAATTCTTTCCACTAAACGACCACTTTTTGTCCTGATATAAGTCTTGATGGCCTTGACCTCTGGAAAAAATAAATTTTGCATTCAATTTATAACTTGCCTGATAAAACATTGTGATACGCCTACAATTCATGTGATAAATGAACAGATATTGATGTATCATTTGAATATGGGATGGCAAAATAGCGATAAAAATATCAGAGAATGTCACATTTTTGAATCTGTAGACAAGCATTTTAATTTAAAAAGATTTCAAAGGTTTCAATCATATTTAAGTTATGTAAAGAATACTTACTGTGTTCTTTGATTGCTTCTAATCTGTTTTGTCTAATCAATTCTCGTTGTTTCTGAAATACCATATTGAATTAGTCTAGAGTAGATTGTGTTAGGCATAACAGAAGAAAAGAGAAGTGAAGATTTTTATTCTATTAAATTAGATATAAAAAAGCCAAATATAACATACCTGAAGTTCAATTTCTTCTAATAAACATTTAATATACCAATACCCGTGTCTGTATCCACCACCAACTCGAATATATTTATGCTGAAAACAAGATATAAGATCGGAGATTTATAGATTTGAAGAATACCTTTAATTTTTGCTAACCAAATTCTCAAGGTTAGTAGATTACAAATGCTTTGTGAGAAGATAAGCTGTCATACAATTAACTACTGTGTGTATGTTGTAACCTTTCGGGCAACCGCTTTGTATATATCTTAGAACCGCTTAGAACTATATCTATTATCTCCTGCTTATTATAATATAAAACATAAGATAAAAACACTTACAGATTCACATTTCTTGTGTGGAATTTTCATTAAACATTTTAAACAGTCTTCTGTTGACGTCTAAAAAATACATGAGATGATTTTGACAAAAACAAAACATTCTGAGTAGATATTGAGTAAATATTCTAAAAATAACGTCAGAGAAGGTTATAATAGTTTTATCAAATACGTCTTGAAATTTTCAATATTTCAATTTTCAAATTAATAAGTCATAAAAATAAAAACATCAAGAAGAAATATATTACAATAAGGTGATAAAACTGTTATTATTTAGGATTATACTGCATTCTAGAACATGTAATGTATGATAACAATGATGTTATAAAGATTACGTTATACAGGATGATAACAATGAGGTTATAGAGATTATATTATATGATAACAACGAGGTTATATAACTATATCATTGAAGTTATAAAGACTTACTGTACAAAATACAAGTATATGATAACAATGAGGTTGGAAGAATATATTATAAAGGTTATAATGTATGAAAACAATGAGGTTATAAATCATACAGGATGTAATGTATGAAAACAATATGGTTATAAAGACTATATCATACAGGTTGTTATGTATGATAACAATGAGGTTATAAAGACTATATCATACAGAATGTAAAATATGGTAACAATGAGGTTATAAAGACTGTATTATTATACAGGATGTAATGTATGAAAACAATATGGTTATAAAGAATATATCATACAGGATGTAATGTATGAAAACAATATGGTTATAAAGAATATATCATACAGGATGTAATGTAAGGTAACAATGAGGTTATACAGTTTATATTATACCGGATGTATTGTGATGATACTAGTGAGGTTATAAAGACTGCATCATACAGAATGTAATGTATGATAACAATGAAGTTATAAAAACGATTATTATACAGGATGGAAAATGTATGAATGTTTAGTAATATACTGTATGATAACAATGAAGTTATAATATTATAAGATAACAACGGAGTTATAAAGACTTATGTTATACAGGATGTTATAACAATGAAGTTATTAAGACTATATTATACAAGATGAAAGATATGATCAGAATGAAGTTATAATGTATTATAACAATGAAGTTATAAAAAACTATATAAGACGATGAAGAGTGTGATGGTGATTTTCGATGCAGATGATTTTGTATTTGCTACCTTTGGAAGAAATGGGGAACTAGCACTAAGTCGACACTCTGTGCCGGAAGCTCTTCTATATTTTGCTGAGAAACGAGCCCGTACATCATACAATGGATGGTTCTGGAAAAGAGATGTACAATCGTTATACACAATTTAACCATAGGACTTCACAAGTAAGAAAGATTTAGATATAACACTTACTTTATTGCTTCTGGATGTTATAGGCTCTACAGAACGTGACGTATCCAAAATTTCACCTGCACTGCCCATAAGATATTCATGGTCAATTTGTCGTAAACTGGGTAACATTTTGGAACGTTAGAATCCAGCTATATCCAATTACAAAGTCGAGAATCAACAATTTCTGTATAACATTTTGCACTGAAGGACATATATTCACAGTAAAGCTTATCCAAGACGGTCTGGGTACATTTTCCACAGTAATTCTGTTTTTTCAAAATTTCACAAAGAGGTCAATATCCCTCAAAATATTCCGTATTATACGTTACACAATGTTAAAATAGACCAACGAACTATGGTCTATGATAACTGGTCAAGCGTGATTATTTTAGTGACCAAATAAAATCCAATCAAGCTTAGCCCAACTTTGAATAGATTTTTAAGTAATCTGATCCGATTTGTGTTTATGAAGAAACAGTAGTCGGTGCAATTAGATTATCTTAGTCTCGTTATGTCTGACAGTCTTTGGCGTTGATATAATAATTATATTTGAACAAGATGTTTGTCGACAAAAAACTTAACTCTCTTTGGTTCTGAATTTTATTTACAGCATGAGATCCTAATAGTCCCAAGTAGGTCTTCTCGAATATCAAATTCCAGTGTATATACTGGATTTCAAATATATCTGAGAAATGTCTAGAAACTAGAAGAATCACATATTTATTTCCTTCTGGAGTTACACATCAAATTTTTGAATTGAGTAATATTTCATTGGAAAAGCCAAATATCTCAATATTTTATTTTTGGTCTAGTAGGGTGAGACTATAACAGTAAAACTATTTTTGTTAAGTGTTCGGTACACAAGGTTTGTAATATTAGTCAATTGTTTGATTACAGAGAACTTAATCCTATCTTACCAACAACTTTAATGAAATATGACCACAAACTCCTTTATTTTTGGACTTTTAAAAATCATATATACATATGTTATTGACTTATCTTATATTTGTTTGCTTTATAAATAAATTATTGAAATCATTTTGTGTCCTTGCATTGCATTATGACCAACGACGTGACTTAATGGCAAATTATCTTTGCCTTAATAATAGTCCACATGAACGAACTTGCCCCAGGTAGTGGCCGATCTTACCCCGACCCGGGGCACGTTCGGTCACTTTGACCTTTCGACTTTTATGATAACTATTTCTTGGACCGCTAATATTAGGAAAAAATGGTAGATTACGTATTGAGGGCGACTTCAAGTTTTTTCATTCTGGTTAATTTCGGGGAGATTTATTTATTAGTTTTTTATATACAGCGTATTTTCCAAAAAGTGGCCGAACTAGCCCCGGTCTCCCCTATAAGCAATGTAATGCTTAACTCTCTGCTAAAAAGATCTACTTACACCTGGATTGTATTTAGTCACTCAATTAGTAATGTTCAAGTTTTCCATGTAACAAAAATCATATACTTTTCAATAGGCATCAGGATTTCTATTAATCTACGGAGGATTCATCAGAGCTTTATACTTACCCGTCCTCTATTGTGTGCCTCTTTTAAAGCAGGAAGTCTACTAGCTCTAGGTACCGGGTTACTCTGGGAAGCGTGCTTGAAGGTATTATGCTCTGAAAAAAAAAACAGTTTTTCAATTTTTTTTATTTCATACAAATCCAACCAGACAAATCAGGTTTATAATGATTATAGTGTATTTGATGATTTGGCAGAATAAAAACGTGCTATCCACTTAATCTATTAATCTTACAGATGGATTAAGATAAGATATGAACACGTGACTATTTCAAGATGGTGGTCATTACGTTTGAAACATTAATAATAATGTACCTATATAGTATATATTGTATATAACAATTCGTCTTGACTACCTAGATATCTATATCCTATGCAGATATACAACACATTATAAATCAGAATTGAACGTGACTTTTAGAGACATAAGTTAAGGATATACAGTTGTTTTTTGTACACATGTCGTTTGAATGAATAGAGAACCCGAGTGCTACAAGATGTACAGATCCCTCGACAGTTGGAAATCGAAAAAAGTAGCAAAATTTTCCTCATTGAACACTGCTTGACGTTTCCTATTCTTAGTAGTCCGAGCAGGCGCAGAAAAGTAGGACGTAAAGCTCTATAACATTTAATCTATTAATGACGACGAAATGATTTTCACAAATTGTTTTTTTGACAAATCAATTGAGACTATGAATTGTTGACGTTTAGCTGCCATTTTTGTTCGAATCCCTCTAAAAGCGTGAATTATTATTGTTTGTGTTGTCAGGAACACGAAGCTATTGATAATAAATCGAATCGATCCCTTAAAATATAATTGATTCAAAAACAACCGAGATTGATCTTGATATTGATTTGATAAAAAGAACAGTATTTAAGATATTCGATACTTTTAACGGTAAAATGTGATAATTAAGATATTAATGATAGTATTATTGTATACTTGATTACAGCTAATGAATAAACCTGGTCAAATTACTGTTTTATTACCGCCTGTAGTATCTTTAAATCAATTTTAATTTGGCATTCTCAGGTATATCACGGGAAATATCCAGGATAATGTCCGAAAATATTAAAATTCTAAAATACTAGTACACATGAACTTTTTGAAATCGGTGTCACAGAATATCAGGAAAAAGCGAGGCCCCGTGTACTACAGGCTGAACACGTTAAAGATACCTCGACAGTTGGAAATCGCAAAAGAAAAGGCTAATGCCACTGTCCTGGCAAAATTTCCCCCATTGCACCCTACATGGCGTTGCCCGTCATTAGCTCACATGGTGCAGAAAAGTAGGACGTAAAACTGCATTCATTTCATTTTCATTTCATAAAAATTAAGTAAGGCCGGCCTGAATAAAAAAAACGAACAATGATATAAACTCAATTTTACGCCCAAAAGCATTGTCTTCGTATAATAAATGGTAATGGTTTAAATTTTCTCGCATATTCCTTCAACGTCTATATTAAATCTTGAGACTTACGAGTATAATAAACTCTTGGAACCATTGTATAAGTTGTACTTCCGGTACTACTACTGGAAGACGTTGGCCTGGAACCTTCATTGTAGGCACCAGGAATCGGAGGTAGAGCTACTCTATTCATGATAAGCCACGATAAGCTACAGCTTTGGTTCGAGTAAAATCATAATCTAGCGCTTGTTATTTATGTTTTTTGAATACTTTCAGCTGTGGGACAAGACGCCCGTCATATATTCCTTTCTAAACACTTAGTTTTATATGTATTTGGATTCAAGTTTTCATATATTTCCAATCACTGTTTATGTCATTCTGGTAAGTCACATTAAGATTTCAATATCACATTAATAAAAATTGAAATTATTTGTCACTAATTCCTTTCTGAATCACTTGATTAACTTTTTGACAATACAAATAAATCCAAAAACACTCCGCCCAATGTATTTTTCAGTCAGAAAGTTTTAAATCTCAGTATAAGTTATCATGTTTATGACTTGAAATCCAATACAAAATTGGTAAATATTTTCACTATTATCCTTCATTATTCGCCCTTCTAAAATATACTATTCGGCCTGACTTATTCCTTCTAGATTATATCAATAATAAACCTATTAATCGATATAGACTTGAGAATTGAACCCTGGCTCACTCCGCTTTCAATCTAAATCCATATACACACTTTTCTCGGAAAATATCTCTGATTTGTCATAAATAAGACTACACTATGATTCAAGACTGTTGACTACGACCACGAACAGTTGATTAGATTCTATCTACCATTTATTATCCATTGCTATATTAGTTAGCATGATTATTAGCTATCTGTTGGTTGATATCCATGGATAGATTATTTGAGTTATCCGTTTATTGATAGCTATGGATAAGGGAGTCGGGCGGTTGCTCACCAACACTTGTTATCCATGGATAGACGAGTTTAATATTTGCTATCTACCACCTGAAATCCACGGATATATAAGTTAAGAAAATGTTATCTACTAGCTGATATCCATGGACAGATTGATTAGTCGAATATATGCTATCCACCAATTCTTATCCATAAATAGATGATTTGACGTATCCACTAAATGATAGCGGAGTTGAGTAGTGTAGATGTTATCCAATAATTGATATCTATTGATTAGTAAGTTGATATAGTCCACTAACTGATATCCATGGATAAGTCGAATATATGATATGGATAGATCATTCGAGTTATCCACAAATTGATATCCATTGATATAGTAGTAGTAGCTGACATCCACTTATTGTTATCTACATGTATAGAGGAGTAGAAAATATGTTTATCACCAATTGTTATTAATGGATAGATGAGTGAAGTATTTTCTATCTGCCAGTTGATATCCATGGGAATATGAGTGCTTTATCCACCATTAATAGTTTGGTAGCTGCTATCAACCAATTGTTATACCATGGATAGATGAGTTGGATACTTGTATTTGTCGTCCACAAATTGACATCCATGAATACATTAGTTGAATATTTTTTAACCACCAATTGTTATCCATAGATAAATGAGTTAAGTATTTATTATCCACCATGAATACATTAGTAGAGTAGTTGTTACCCACCAATTGTTATACCGTGAATAGATGAGTTGGATACTTGTATTTTTCATCTACTAATTGATATCCCAGAATACATTAGTTGAGAAGTGGCTATCCACCAATTGTTATAACGTGAATAGATGAGTTGGATACTTGTATTTACTATCTACTAATTGATATCCATGCATACCGATACATCAGTCATGTAGTCGCAATCCACAAGTTATTACCCAGGGTTGGATTGATCACCGAAGAGCTATGTTTATAAAATCACAGTTCGAATCAATATTCATACTACCATTGATCGAACGGTTTCGATTGTGATTGATACAATTTTGATACGACTGTTTTATAATAATAACAATCGCATTCTATTCTATTCATAACTACCCTTCATAAACTATAATATGCCGACAAAGGGTTTGGCATACGTACTAATAAAAAGCACAATGCATATCGGACAACAATGGTTGACATAATATATAAGGACCCAATCTGTGGGTATAGTTAACAGTGTCTTGGTTTAACAAAACTAATTTATTGAATTACTTTGTGTACTTAAATAATTTTTAAGGCATAATGGGTTTTTTTAACGCATAAGTAAATAAATAAATAAACA